TCCTGCTGATAAGGGATGGACTCTGATACTTTCAAGCCACTTTTCCATCTGTGTGGTCCAGTTGATTTGGTGATTGAGCATTCACTGGCCCGAATGGAAACATAAACAGTCTCAACACAGTGAAACGCAGTCTGAGTTTGCACTGTTAATGCAGAGAGAGGAAGGGACCTTGTTGATGTCTTATGCTAAGGTGTGCAAATTAGTGGATATAATTAGTGTTAAATATAGTTTAATCTTAGCGTTAAATATAACTTAATCTTAAACACTTCTTTTCTTCATTTGGCAGAATTTTGGTGTCAATTGGTGAATCGTTTGGGGTGAGTTTTAACATTTTTAATGTCTGGTCTTGAATGCATGTAACTTTTGGAGAAATGGGACGGCTTGCTGACACCTGGGGAACTGGCCATTGAGTGGCTCTAATTTAATGTAGTATTTTATGGAATTTGTGAGCACAAAGATTACAGGGGCATCCCGTTGACTCCTTTCAAATACCCAGACTTCACTTTTAAAATGTTTGTATTTTATTTCAGCTGCTTTAAAAGCAGCTCTAAAACAGCAAGAGTTTTAGACCTCCTAATTTTTTTAGTGGATAATCTGTGGAGTTTGAGTCGTTTCGGGATTTATTCGCATTTCTGTCCCTATTTTCTTGTAATTTCAGACTTCAGAAAAGTTTCAAAAAATAAACCAGATGGTCTGCAACAGTGACTGCCAGCTAAAACGCAGCGCAGAAGTAAGCGCTGCTCCTAAGCCACTGAAGAGGCTGCGCTTTGATATAGAAGGGCAAGACGAAGCAGATGGAAGGTAAGAGATTGTTCTTGGCTCTTCAGTAAACTTACATATATTTGGTTCTCAGGTCTTTCCATCCTAACTTCTTCCTGACATCCGAACTCTGTTAATTTGTGAACTTTAGTAAATACATTAAATGAGAGATGGTAGCATAATACTTCTCAATTAGACACTTTGATGTCAGAAACAAGGATTTATTCAGTGCCTCTACATTCAGCATCCCCGCTGAGTGCTAAACCATGTGGTTGTCTGTAGTCAGTCTTTCAAAAAACAAACCCCAGATTTTGTTAGACATATGAGAAATCAAGCAACTCTTTCGTGGGGAGGAAAAAAGAGTTTGCATCTTTGTAAGAGAAGGCAATAGCACTGAAATGAGCTAGCCTTGATTTATAGTTAGGTTTACTCAGATAAAAAACTAGGTTGTTTGGTTTGGTTTTTTTTTTTAACTTCCTCTTAAACATATGTTTTCTGTCTGCAGCAAACACCTACCCCAGGAGTCCAAGTTCCAACAAAAGCTTGCAGAAATGAGTGAGTATTTTTTTATTATTAACTGCACAGCACTGAGTGCTTTGGAAAAAATAGTTTGTGCCCACCCAGATAAAAACATTGCTCAACACTGATACCATTTTGGCAACTTGCTTAGTTTTTTGTACTTGCTCAATTTAATCTTGAAAATGCAGATTATAAAATGGAAATGCTGAAAAGCCTTTTTGAGGATATTAAATGGCACAGCAGCATAGAAGATGTGATATTACATGTGAATAAGAAAATGAGCATGACACATTCTTCCTAAACACTAGAATTCTTGAAATGGAATTAAATGCTTGCCAAGGATTTGCCATGTGTTCCAGTGACAGACCCTTAGCTGAGAGCTGGCAGGTAGTGATCCGTATGAATAGCAGCAGCATTTAGTTGACCTTTTTAGGCAATTACAGTATAGTAAAGGAAAATTATATACACAGGAAAATTGTATGTGATTTTGTATGTTGCTTTGTTGTCTTTTATACTAAAATGACTGGGACTGCTTTTTCTTCCACTGCATATCAGCATTTCTTTCAGATTTTATGGGATCACTTTTCTGTTTTTCAAATAAAATTGAAATCTAGCTCATGAAAAGCAAAACATCCTAGTCCCCACATCTGAGTTGGTATTTTCCACTCCCAAGAAGGAACACATGCTTGTCTGACCAGACATTCTCGCTTTCTGGTAGAATCTAAGCTCTGTAGCTGAGTGGATTTGTCCATTAAAAATTCTTACCTAGCAAGTGTGTGTTTGTCAACATGAGAAGTACAAGTATGGATCCAGGCACCTCTGATTTATTTTAGGGTAGGGGAAATGTTTCTGCGTTTACCTGTAGCAGAGGTTAAGAAGTGACGTTCTACTTCACGTCCAGCTGTGTTAGTGCGTGTCACTGAGGGGAAAAAGCATTTATTTCCTGGGCAGGCTGGCTCTGCGGGGCAGGGACTGCTCAGCCCATGGCATCTGCTGGGCAACATCTGCCCACTGTGAGGATGAAAACAAAGTGAGGGTACAGAAGCAATGAGAACTTCAGTGAATGGGTGGAATGAATTTCAGATGTGTGAGATTGAGCAGGAATTGCTGAAGCAACTCAGAATTACATATCTAATTTTAAAATGTGGGATTTGTTTTATTTAGAATAGTGTAATTCAGTTCCTTGTGTCATTACCAATTTTTACAAGAAATAATCACATCCAAAGTAATTCTGAAGAAAATATTTAATGTAATTTTTTTAAATTTTATTTTTTTAGCATCTACTCGAACAAGAATGCAAAAGCAGAAACTGAGTGATGGAAATGATACCTCAGCCAGTGAAGAAAAGTGAGATTCTTCTCAGGACCAGGGGCTGCACTGCAGGCCCTCTTAGCTTGTTTTTGTTTTACAGCCTTCATTAATTGAGTTGCTTTTTTAGTTGCTTTTTATTCCGAACTGCTAGTTGAAAGCATTTGGACTTTTTAAATTTTTAAATGTTTTTCATGATACTTTGCCTTATGATGTAGCATGTATACAATGTAAGCCACTGAATTTAATTTATAAATTTTTTTGAGGATTTTAAGAACAGACTTGGAAAGTGTCTTAGTTTCCTATTGCAGCATTACTGATTTAAGCCAATTCAGTCTACCTGGACTGAATTTTTCTGTCTAAAGACAAAACGTTAGCTAGAATGATTTGAAATGCACTAATTTTGTTTCTTAGATTTCATTTTTAGATTTTCATTACTTGCAAATTTTGAAAATGAGGGGCCAGATATTACATAAAGATTTCTCTCTGTATATAATTAGCACGTCAAATTCACATAATTTAGACTGCACAGCAGTCAGAGACCTGGCAGAGTCAGGGCCTCGCATCAGAAGTGCAACCTGAATTCCAAGTGAACTCATTACGTAGCCGTACTACTGAAACCAGTCTGTAGAGTTTTGTAGTTTTCCTTACCCAGCTCTTGCCCCAGTGTAATTTCAGGGGGTGGTTACACTGTCCCTCGGTTTGAACTTCATGGAATATGAATCCCACAGAGAATCATCTTCCCAGAAGCTGAAGCTTCTTCCCATATGCAGAGTACTTGATGTGCACTTTCTTATCTTGGAAAATCTCCGTTATTTTAAAAAAGGAAAGAAAGAAAAAAAGGGAAAAAAAAAAATCCCCAAACCTAAATCCCACCTGGCACACATAAGATTTCAAAATTCTAATGACATAGAATTTTCTTGATTTCTTCAGATATTCACCTAACTGTAGCCAAGCCAAGTAGCTTGAGAAACAGGCACCAAACCTCTTTCCTGTAGCTGAAAGCCGAGTCTCCATTTGGGTACCAGGTAAGAGTAGCCTGGTGTCTAAAAGCACAGGGCATCTCCCCTTGGCCTTCCTGCAGCATCTGCACAAAAACTTGGTGAGCCCACATCAGGAAAATCAGTCTGCCTTATTTTACTAAAAAAAGCAGAGTTTAATAGACAACTCGTGAAATTACAACTAGCAAAAAAACCCAACCCAAACCTCAAAACTTTTTTTCATCTTAAATGTTTGTAAGTTACTGATTCAGACACTGGAATTTTTTTTGCAATGATAAAGGGTTTGCAAAATAACCAGTTAAGGAAAGCACATGTTTTACTTCCAGTGGATTAAAATATAAATAAAGAAATAAAGTCCTGCTTGAAATTTACCCATTTTTATGAAATTTAGCTTTTGCAGCTAAAGCAGTGATAGATAGTAGAAAAGCATGCTATTCATTAACCATTTTAACATTTTAAAACAACATCTTCTCCGGGTAGCTTATTTAGAAATTGTTTAGCTGAACCTAGTATACTTACACTAGTACATTTTAAAGATCAGTTCTTGTGTTGAACGGAAGCTAATCCAAGAGCTATTATAAATTCTATGAGTGGCACACTGATTTTGTCAATGAATTTTAAAATAAAACTGAGTTATTTTTTTAGTCTCAATATGGCTTCAACTTTCTTTTGAAAAATGTACGGAAGTGTTAAGAGTACCTTATGTTTATTTTCTCACTTGCTGCAGAGTTTTACAGACACAATATATGTTAATATTTGGGTACACTGACCATAAGCTCTGTTACAGCCCTTGAAGTTCTTCCACAATCCTTTGGCTAGAGGGGTGACATGACAGAGTCCAGTACCCAAACAGATTTATTATTTCTTTACTGTGACAATATATATATTTTTTTTTGGTTCAAACAGACTGAAGGCTTTACATCAAATGTATGATAATATTTTATACAACTAATCAGTTTTTCTCCTTTCAAGATAAATAAAATAGCTTTTGAAAGACTTATAGTTGGTAATTTTCTTTTATTAGGTGAGAAGGTGACTTCACATGGTAATGATGTCCTGTATCATGCTTCGGCCATGATTCTGCAGCCAGTGCAAGCAGAGGTCACTCCGTCTCCAGTGGTTCCCTGCTGGGTAACAGAGCACTGGAACAGGCTGCCCAGGGAGGTTGTGGAGTCTCCTTCTCTGGAGACATTCAAAACCCGCCTGGACGCCTTCCTGTGTGATCTCATTTAGGTTCCTGCTCCAGCAGGGGGATTGGACTGGATGATCTTTCGAGGTCCCTTCCAATCCCTGACATTCTGTAATTCTGTGGTGCAGAGCTGCAAACAGTTGCGCTGTTGAGCTTGTAGTTACATTCAGAAGTTTCCACAGGATGTTCTGGAAATGTTGTTCTCACCAGACCGTTTTTTCCAGGGTCGCCATTGCCAGGTAACGCTCCTGGCAGGCACGGGGCTGTATGATGGTCTGGGTGGCTGCCACAGCCCTTGCAGAGGTGCTTGAGGCGGTTCTTCAGAGATCCTGGTGTCCACATTTTAGAATTGTTGCCATCATTTCACCACCTGCTTTTCATAATTGATTCTTTTGCTTTTGGGGCTGCAGAAAACAGCCCAGGATGTCAAAACTGCAGTGTAAGGTGCCATGGCCTCCTGGGCCGGGTGTCTGGCTGTAGGCACGTCAGCCCCGCACGCTCCCTGTTGTTGCTTTATTAGAGTCCGTAGGTGCCGGTGACTCAACTCTGCTGACCTTGCAGTGCTATTTATGGCATCGGCGTTCATAACAATGCTTAGAGCACAAAGTGCACTGGCTGATGTGCCAGTCCCTGCCCCCTCTGAAAACACATTTTCAGAGTCTTATTTTTAAGCAGATACATATGCAAATAAATGTGTATCAAAACTAATGGCTTTTTATCAGCTTTTCAAATCTGCTTATGTTTGAAAGTACCTTTCTTATAGTGAATTGTAATTGTAATTCAAAATGGGCTACAATATTCAAACCGTTTTGGGGAAAAAGAAAATTAGAATTCAGCAGAACTGGACGAGAAATGGGACAGGCATTTTGGTGCCTAACAGTAAGGGTTGCACCACTGATCAAACTCTTCTCATCACAGTGGAGAAACGTACATTTGTGGAGAAAACTTCTCTCTGTGTAAGCTTGACGTGTAACATGAGGTCATGTGAAACTTATCTTGGAGGGGCCTGCATCTCTCTGTTGACAGTAAAAGGAATTTAATTTACTGGCTTGGCTGTGCAGCCAATCTTGAGATGGATGAGCTGATTCCCTTAATATGTTGCTGCTGTTCCCTCTATGTTCTTACAGGTCACAGAATGTGCAATCTGCATGTTGTTCAGGTACAGGAGTGACTAGAGGAAGATACCTGTGTCAATTGTGAAACAGCTGGAGATTACAGCTGTGTGATACTGGTGCAAAGTACCAGTTGAAATATTTTAAAATGTAACAAATAAGCTGGTCATACTGTACATTTGCTTCAGAAACAATTCTTGGTGGTTTGAGGACAGTTTTATGAATAATTAAGTCATTAGGGCATTAATTTATTTGAAAGGTAAAAATATACTTATGCAAATTTTCCAACTCTTTTTTGCAGACTTAGCTTTCATTTTGTTTACAAATACTTTATCTGGTGACAGTTATTTCCTGGACAATGCAAACAGTCTTTAAAATATCTCTCTGAAATACTACCTCTTTTTTATTTCTTTTTCTCCCACACTACTAATTACATAGTCAACTATTCACTTTTACTGAAAAGAAAGGAAAAAAAAAAAATCCAACTCATACTTTTAAAATATAATGGTGTTTTTATTAGTGGTCTATTAAAACCAGGCACGTTTATAAAGAAACAAGAAATCAAAAACCAATTTTATGTTCAGGCTGTAAACTTTCTATGTCATTAAGTGGCAGCCAATTAGTCCTGTCTCTATGGAGTAATTAAATGCTTTGCTTTACAAGGAAATTGTAAAGATCATACAAAAACAGCAGTTTACGCAGTTACTTGGTATTGTAATAAAACTCTAGAGCTGGGTCCTAGGTGACAATGCAATGCTGGCTCTTAGCTTCAGTAACTTGAGAGAACCTTTCCATGACCCTGTCCCTGCCATTTCTCTTTCAAATTCCATTTGATTCCCAAAGTAAGTTAGCCACCTGGTTCTCTTTCTGCAAAGCAGAACCTCCTTCTTTATTCAAACTCTAGATACAGTTTATGCTTGACCTTATTGTCACTCTTTAACAAATACCTTTATTTAAAGTATTTAACCTGCAAGATCCACAAACATAAATTTGTTGCAGACCATCTCACAATGGTAAAATGCATCCCTAATTTCTTCTACAATGTCCCATGACGGTTTCAAGCACATGTTTATATACATGCATCCACATTTAACCACCTAAGCCAGTATGTTTTTTAAACATTGACCTTTAAGTGCCAAGAAAAGTGCATGCAAGTTAAAAAATGTAAATAAATAAATGCCTTTATGAATGTAACACTATCACATCCAGGTCAGATACATATTGCATTAATAAAAACCACCACTGACATGTTGGAGCTTTAGAATCACCTTCATTCCGTCCAGAGATGATGCTTCTCAAAATTACAGGCTTTGTCACTTACTCTGAGATTGCAACAAGGCTTTAATGTGTACAGGAGGTTAGAAATTATGAGTAAGAAGGAAAGAAGTTGAAAAAAAAAAAAAACACTATTGGTTATGTTAAAGCCAAAAATGCTGTGCTAAGAAGGCATGCTGGTTTGGCTACAGTAGTTGTTCAACCCCTGTTACAAACTAGAGCTAGCTCTGGAGAGTGGTATCGTGCTCTAGTGCTGTCACTCCCTGGAGTGGTGTCTTCAGTGAGCCAAGCTCCTCATTGGGCAGGGAATGTTTGTGATCAGATGTGGAGGTAAAAAACAATCATTTCACATTTAGTTTTGGTTTGGTTCTTTTGAGTAAAACAACAGAAACATTTGGAGACACTTTTAATAGTACATTTCTTGGGAAGGCCAGAGTGACTGCAAGGCCGTTACAAGGGGCAGGCAGGTTCCATTTCCTAGTGAGGCTGGCTGCCCGCCAGCGCAGTGCCCCGTCTTGTGGGGCAGGCTCCTGTCCAAGCGGCTGTGGCAGTCCAGCCTCTTTCTGTCTGCTGCTGAGAAAATGCTGGCAGGTGAATCTGGCAGTTCTTCAGCCCAGGACTGAAAGGGGCAAAGTCCTCACTCCAGCCATCCCTGGCTTAAACAAAACATCTAGAATTCCCCAGACCTGGCTGATGTAGAATTGCCTGTGTCTGTGCTTTGGTATAATCAGCACTGGGCTGTACCATACAAGGTTTGCAATAACGTTGTGCTCTACTATGATACTGTCTGTTAACCTCTATCTGTGTGCCCGACTCAAGTGCTTTTCAACACTAACTTACCAAAATCTCCTTTCCCCCCCCAAGGAAGTTGTGGTTTTGATGAAACTGCATTATGTACTGGAACGTTTTTGACCAGTTCTGTTTCAATACAAAATAGTGACAACTGCTGAAGTATGGACTTAGCTGCTGGAGGAAGTTGTACTAATCACTGAGGGGGTGGCAGAACACACGTGTTAGCAGTAGATGATCCAATATATTTCTACTGAGAGTCTGTTAGAGAGCAAATGTCTCAACCGTATATAATTTTTTACCACAGCATTTTCCAAAATAATTTGCTTATGATTCTCTTACTTAAGTAAATTCTATTGTCTACGTGCCTCTCCCTTCCACTCACAGCAGCAGGGACTGATGTGAAGAGAAGCACTACTCACTACTTTACTTTTCTTCTTCTCTGAAGATGTGCTTCTGTTTTTCCTCTTCCTCCTCCTCAAGGGACAGGATTGTTTGAGAAATGATCCTCCAATATACTCAAGAACAGTTATTTCTCCTTTAGAAATGAGGAAATGAAGCTGTAATCATTTAAGGGAATTACTCTTAGAAACCACATCTGAAGATTAGAAAAAGTCATCGAAGGACTCTGTGGCACAGCAAGGATCTGAAGGAAGGTCGCATGACTAATTCCAAGAGTGTACTGAGCCTGGTCATCCAGCTTCTTGCCTTCTCCATTTGTAAAATACTACAAAAGGCACTTAAAGCCACTTCACCCCATCAAAATGTTAGGAAAAATAATTTCTTGGGGTTAATTCACAGTTGCCAATTAGAAAATTCAAGTAAATGCTTCATGAGCTCAGTATCTTCTGTAACGGAGCAAACCTCCCTCCATGCACCACTGGGTGAGGTTCCATCTTAACTCACTAAGTCAGTTAGAAATTAAGCATCTACTCTGCTGGCTGAGCTGAGCTGAGCGTCCAGAAGACGACGCCTCTCACCTAAACCAGGCATGTAAGGTAAGTGGTACGGTCACCTCGCAGCACTGACCCAAGGAGAACGTGAAACAATGTATTTGGAGAAGGTATCCTCATTGTCACGTAGAAAATAATGTGAGTTTCACTCTTATGATTTAATTGTAAGACATATTTTTATCACTTAAAAACTATCATCTATCTATCTTCTCCATTTTTCTTAAGATGCTCTGTCTGGGGATAGATAGTAAGACAGGAATAAACAAACCTCAAGTGGAACTTCACTTTCCAAGATTTTGTATGGGTTTGTTTTTCTTGTTAACAACCAAACATATGGTTTTCTCAGTACCAAAACACACAGCACAATAATTCACGTCCAGACCAATACTGTTAATGCTTCCTGGCCCACTGGGGTGCCAGGGAACATGCCTGGTGTCATGGGAAGGAAGATTTTTTTTCATTGTGTCTAGAACAATGGGTGTAAGTGCCAGGAACTCAAAACTGTAATATCTAGCTGAAGGTCTTAATGGCTTACATATTTACACTCCAAATAAACACCACATGAGACATATCCTCCCTACCAGTCAGAAAGCTTCTCATTGTAAAAAATGTATTACTTCTATCATGTGTTCAGAAAAACAAGTTTTCATCTTTGCTGGATGATAAATCAGGCACAAAGCAGCCCACTATGGCATATTAACTTAGTTTGGTGATAGTATACTATGAAAATTTTAGCAGCAAACAAGTCACTGTCTTAGAAAATCCAAATGTAGGCTGTTTAAAAAAGAAAAAAAAGAAAAAAGAAAAAAGAAAAAAGAAAAAAAGAAAAAAAGAAAAAACCCCACCTCAAAACAGACAGACAATGATAGCTTAGTTTGCTTGACTTTAAGTGGGAAAGGGTAGTTACTGCATTAGATTTTTGTTGTCAAATTCTGACTGTTGGCAATGAACTCTCACCACCCATCTCCGCTGTAGCCATCTTTACAGAACCTGTATGTTAGCAGACTTTTACACATTTCCTAAGCTGTTGGACCCCGAGTCTTTCTTTCCAAACCTTTGCACACTCTGACCATGAATAAGTTCTCCAAAGGAGAAGTATTGTCAGGAGGAAAGAGGATGTGCTCTTCAGCTTGGTGGTAGTCAGGCCTCAGTTTCGGAATGCTCCCACTCTGCTTGCTTTGCTAATGAAGTTTTTCAGGAGGTCGTGGTCCATTTCTGCAAAGCCTTGAGTTTGTGTAACAACAGTTAAATGGTTTATGCAAAACCTGAAGCAAAATTCTTCCAAGTCCTAGGAACAAATTGAGGTAATTTGTAATATGAATGACTGATAGCAAAATTACTATTTTTCTGTTTCAAATCTGTCATTGAATCAGCAGAGAACACAGCAGGTTGTTTACATTATCAATGCCTTTTCTGATCAGTTTGATTAGATCACAAATTATAGGATGAAATGTGTTCATACAACACTATTCAATAAACCACCTCCAAGAAAAAAGGAGTAGCCCCACCTAAATTAACTCCAGAACTCAATCACGTTTACTGAGCTCATTAGAAAAGTTATTATTAAGTGAAACCATCAACTTTCCCCCCATACAACTATTAGAGTATCAGTAACTCCTTTCTTTTCCTCCCTGTACTGAATTCAGTAGTGGTCCCCTGAAAAACAGAAGATATCCTAGTCTTGCTGAAAATAAAAGCAAAAGATGATGTAATATTTGATGATGGTCGGTGAACACAAACTGGATGTTAGGATACAAGTGTCTTTCATGGTGAACCTAGGAATTGTGTTCCCCTGTCTAGGAAGTGGGATTCCTAGATAGCAAAAATGGTTCTCTCTTGTCCTGGTCTTGCTGTAAAAGGTTGTTCAGATATTCAGCACAGGATAGGTATTAAGCCATTAAGCCAAACAAACATGATTTCACACAGCAAGTTTTGCCTGCTCAAACTCCTCACAACAGTGGCAATCCTGCTCTCCATGCACTGGGTCAATCCCCTTTAGCTGGTTCCTATGCAACAACTTGCTGTTGAAGGAAAATTAATTACCTTTTGCAGCGAGGCAAGTCTAAATTGGAAGTATGATCCATGATCTATAAACCCTTCCAAGGTTACAGCAAAAAGAGGTCTCTTAATCCATGCCAGTTTCATTCTGCCTTAACTACACAAACATTGCAGCAGTAGAAAGAAATCTAGCAGAATACCTGTGCATTTCCCTCTCAAACCTTTTCCTTAGAATTCTGTTTCAAGTCTATTGCCTCTGTCACGATGTAACTAAAGCTTTAGCAGAGGCCAAGCAGTACAAAATATCCTTTAAGAAGAAACAAGGTAGCAACAATACACAGAAATAACTTGTATCTATGTCTCTTCAAAAAGTACTGGAAAAGCAAGAAAAGGAATGAGAATAGCAGAAGAAATAAGAAACGTAGAAGAAATAAAAAATGTAGAAGAATTGAATTAATTCTATCTTTTCAAAATTTTAAAATATTAGGCCTCTTTCATCATCCGTCTTTGGACAGTTTTCTACTGAAGCACTGATACACTGCACGTGGTTCTCAAACCAATTTTTACTCTATTAATGTAGTACACTAAAGGATCCTGGCTTACTTCGTGATTCCTTAGACACAGACTATCCCACGTCTTTGATAAAGAAGTCTTTGCTGTGCTTCTCTAAAGCAGTTCTGCTATGTCCCATTCTAAGCTGTGGATGTAAGGAGGAGGGCAACAATGCACTCCTGAGTTTGGCACATGCTGCACCTGGAGCATCTGATGATCATGTTAAAATACTGTATGTTTTGAAAGAACACGAGGTATAGAGAACAAAACACTGAATCGCAGAAGGAAGAGGAGGATAACATATATTTAGTCATCTAGCCAATCCCTTTTATTGTGTTTCAGCCATTATAAATGCTAGTACTTTGTCCAGTCTAGTTTTATCACTTCACAATACACCTAAGTGTATCTTTCACTACTCCTTTACCTACTGCACTTGACATGGGTCAACTAAAGGTACTTCTGCTTTGAAGATGTTCAAAACTGTTGACAAGCTTGTAAGAGGAGAAACTCCAGAGCAAACTTCTAATTAAAAAAGTTGTGCTGTTAGGAGAATCAAATCATTGGGTCCTCCCTTCCCATCCAGTCTTCCCTGATTTGCTGGGCTTCTATCACCACAACACATTGAAAGTACAATTCCTCTGGCCTCAGCTGTTCATGCCTTCCATTACTGATACTGTGGTTACAACTGCCCTGTAACTGGCAGATGATAATCTTATTATCTACTAATCTGATGTTATCCCCTATTTCCATTTACAAAACTCACTCACTTCTGGCCTCCTCTTTGCAACTCCTACACAAATTCATCTCATCTAATACACCGCCTCCATACAGCACAGACTACTGTGACATTTTTAACTGGTTTTATTTCAGTCCCTTCTAATCCTGCTTGCTTCCTATGCCTGAAACTGTTTATCAATCCATCGTATTCCACTTTAGCCTCTCCTCCTTTAAAACTTCATCCTACATTTCACAACCAGACAAAACCGAAAAAACAAGTGTTTTTAAAAAACATTGTTGCCAGCTACATATTTTGGCTCTTCTAATAGGTAAACCTTCTGCTTGGCTTTATTCATTTTATTCTTGTAAGGCAGAAGAAATACTCAACAGAAAGACGAGGACTCCTCAACTAAGATGCTCAGTTATAACAACAGCTACTAAGTCTAAAATACATATGCAGACTTTTGAGTAATAAAAACCACCACATCATTATTGCCGCAGTCAGCATAGCACTAAGCAGTTGAGAAAAGAAAAACATATTTGGAAGTATTTGTCTGTTTACAAAAGAAGCTTGCAGTATGCTGATAACTGGTTCCAGAGCCAAGGGCAGACCAGATGACAGGATATGGGGAGAGGAATAACAATAGGTGATTTGTTGTATGTCAGCACGATTCATTGTAAACAACATGGCAAGAGTGGATTTTTTTATCTAAGCACAAGTGTAAATAGCAAGGGACTTTACCCGTAAATTCTCTCATTGCCTGTAAAAGGCAGTACCAGAATGACTGTACCAGACACCAGCAGACAAAATGATCAGGTGGAGAACTGAAGTAACATGCAATGCAAAATCCAAAGGTGGAAAAGGAAATAGCAGTGAGAAATTTGCATGCCATGCCATGCCAGATGGCAAGGCAGGAAGCAGATTAAGAATCCTGACTCACAGGTGCAAGTCAAAAGGCCAGAAAGAAAACACTAGGAGCTGAATTGTTTTATAGCTTAAAAAGGGTAAAAAAAAAAGTCTGGGAAGCCAGAAAGGGAAATTGCAGTATCATGCCTCATCTCTTAAATGCAGTTATGTTTGTATTACACAGTTTCGTTTCTCAGAAAATAACTGTTTGCCTGAAGAGAAGTTCTCCTTACCTGAGCTTCATATTTGACAGCAGCAGAAAGAAGAGCAATGGCATTCTCTTCACAAATGCCTTGTTTGATCGTTTGCTGGCAAAGCTTTTTCAATCTGTTTTCTCTATAGAGTGTTGCCAAATCTAGCAGTCCTGTGAAAATTCATAGAGCTTTAACTGTCCTGGTGCAAAGCATATTAATTTCTTTTCAAATTAATCAATTACCCTACTGTTTTAGGCTGAATTAATCAAAGACTTGTTCTATTTTTTTTTCCCTAGATGATGTTTGCATTTTTAAAGGTCCTCAAAAGACATATTGAGAAGGGACCTTTTTATTACTGTACAAGTGTTCTGTCTTCTTCACTGTACTGTATCTCATCCTAGGCATCAATCAGTGACTTGCATCCTCTTAAATTAATGCAGGGAACAGCTCCCTTTTCATCCATGATCAAATCGCCATAGCTACTCAAACAGAAAAGTTTTAGGATGGCATTAGTGTCTTTTCCAGGGGAAAAAAGTTCTTAATATGAGAAACAACAAGTTATTTTTGAACATTTTGCATCTTTGATCTTACTACATCCCCACCACTCATTCTCCTTGGGCATGTTTCCTGCTACTGCATCCCTCCTTCCTAACACGTGCCGAACTCAAGATTTAAGTGATAATAAAACTAAAATGAACAAGCTCTACTCTCCTCACCCTGTTATGTCACTTTATTGAACTTTTCAGAAACAGTAACCTAGAGTTATTTCCATTTATGGCAAATACCTATTGCATCTTCAGGAGGGAGCCTGATGTTGTCTGTATACAGGTATTCCAGGAAGGCTCGGTAAACAGGATAAGAAAATTCACTCATTTCTATAATTTCATCATCATTATTCAGTATGGAACGAAAATGTTCACACCTACAAAACACAAAGATTGTGTACTGTAAAGAGTTAAGCTTGAAAGATGAGCTGCAGCAAGAAGCTGGTAAAAAAAAAAAAGAAAATCAGTCATAACAGACTGAATACACAACTATAAACTCTAACTACATGATTTCTTGTTTTGAACACATTAACTTCTTGAAGCCTTATAAGGCTTACAAGCCTTATATATATATAATTCAGAATTTTCCTTTATTTCCATTATTAATATTTTATAGCTGGTTCCGTTTCTACTTACAGTATCTTTAAGGATGGTCCACATGTTTTGATGTCATTTTCTTAATTATGGTATATATTAACTATGAATTTTATTACCTGGTTCATAATAGATAAAGTTTACAATTAAGTTAGACAATTCTCACATATCAACCTGCTTTCTCCAACATGACCTAGTGAGAAGGGAATTTATTAATATTTTAGATAACATTTATTCCAGTATCAGTCCACACATAATTCAGCATTACATTTAGTCATTATACGCAAGGATTAAAATATTTAAAGTTAAGACACTCTCACCCAGATCTTTCATCACCTTTTTCTTACAAGTCTGAATACATTTGTGACAGACAAGAAACAAGCAAGGAAAAAGCACCATCTTTGATAGCTGTACTCTGTAACTTACTGCTCCCTAAAAACCACTGGGTAACTTTTCAATTGTTTTCAAAATCTTTGCTGATGGAAATAAACATCATCACCTCAGGTAACTTTTCCTGTAACAGGCACAATTTAATTGGACTCTTTTATACTACACTACTTAATTCCTAACTCTCCCACATCAGAATTTGCAATTCTTTTACTAAAACTTTTATGTAAAAGCTAGGTTGGTTTCCTTTTAATGATGCTGGGACAAGTTTACATCATAAAGACAGCATGACTTAGATACAAATGAAAAATAATTATTTATTTTATCATTTAATTCACCTTTTTCACATTTGATTTCACTGCTTATTTGAAGAATTTTTTTTCTTAGTATTTTATTTTATTACATTAAAAAAATAAACATCAAGTCAAATTAGACACTGGAACAGGTTGCCCAAAGAAGCTGTGGATGCCCCCTCCCTGGAAGTGTTTAAGGCCAGGTTGGATGAGGCTTTGAGCAACCTGGTCTAGTGGAAGGTGTCCCTGCTGATGGCAGGGGGGTTGGAACTAGATGATCTTTAAGGTCCCTTCCAACCCAAACCATTCTATGATTCTATGAAACTCATTAAAAAAAATCAAAAAGTCATTATCTATCTTCTGCCACATCTTGTTCCACATTCTGGCACTGGAAGAAGCAGACTAAACCCCATTGCTTTGTTTCCCAGAGCTTCATCTTAAGTGGTGGTGACCATGCTATCCATCCAGCTGTGGAACAGACCTTGGGAATTGTCTGTTGCCCCAGAGGCACCACACGAAAGTCAGAGAGAAGGTGGAGCACATTGTTCCCTTAAAAATAAGTAAGTAAATAAATAAAAATCAGTTGGTACTCATCCTTCAGTTTCCAAAGTACCTTGGAGTGACTTACCCTTTGGAGTGCCTCTCTCTCTCAGTAGAGACAGGCCAGACACCTAATTTTTTCTGTGTAATTGCAGAGCAGATGAATCCCACCCACATGCTCACATGTTATCTCTTTCTGCAGGCACCGTGTTGCTTGGCCAGCCTCTCACTGAGCTGGGTACTGCCCTGCCATTCCACCACCATCGCAAGCTAATAGCCACCAACAGTATGATCTAGTTCAACAGCAGGCATAGAACAAGATGGGGAAAAAAGTCTTCATAAGTAGTAAAGAAATGACTGGATAATGAAAGGAACTTTTACCAGCACTGCATTCATTACAATGCTCTGGAACAGGCTGAATGCTTCAAAATACCATGTTAAATGCGTTATCCTCTGATCCAGTTGCATCATGAGACTGTAATGCTTAAACAAAATGCTAATTCTACTGACTGCACCTGATGCTTTATTATTCCTGTAAATTATTTTGATAATGCCATACACTTAAATCTATTTTAGAATTATACACATTTCCTTCCCAGAATGTGATATAATCTGAGAAAAGTAGAGCAAGAAAAAAGAAATAAGGGAAAGTTACATGTATCAGGAAAAAGAACCTCAGAAACGTTTTGGGGATACACAAGACTTGAAGTGATATTCAGTGAAGGACATGAGGCATTCCAAACAAAGAGGGTGGACTATAGGCACGAGAGTAATGTATATGTAATTAAACCAGCAGAGGGAAGAAAATAGTAAAACAGGTAATTGGAGTAGTAAGAGGAGAGCAGAAAAGACAAAAAAAAAAAAAAGGCTAGGCAAGAATTAATAAGGAACACAATAATAAACACAAGAGCATCTGCAGAAGTTGCTGAAACAACTGAAGGGTCCTGTGGAAGGAAAGAAAGAAAGAAAGGCAAGAATAAACACAAAACCCTCAAATCATCCCAGCGGAGGAAGCCAAGCAAAGGAGGAAAAACTGATGTAAATGAGGAAAAATTGATTCAAACTACTGGGAAGGCAGCAGAAAGAAGTGACCCTTTTCCTCAGCAGGAAAAGGTTATCAGAAACCAGGGTCAAGGATGTTTAGGTAGCATGAAGGAGGATACATATCAGATGGAGGGAAGTGATGAAAAGACTGGTAGTAAGCAGCATGTTTGGTGATTCCAAGCAGTGAGGAAAAGAGAGTAACAGTGAAGAACAGCAGATGAGGGCTATTTCCCCATGGCTGAGGGAAAAGGGAGTTTGTAAGAAAAAGTCAAGAATTTGGAGCAGTAATTACTCAGCACAGTGGACTATACTACACAGTTTAGTTTATATTAAACTATACAGTTTGTGCCTTACCTAATTTTGAGAAGAACTTTATGAACATGGATGTATTTTCCATCCACTAGAAACTTCAGGTCTGCAGTTTCAGGGTTGTCAAATTCCTTCTTTAGTGACTGGGCTACTGTTAGATGGTCATCAGGCTCTAGAATAAAAAGAAGAATTAGTAGTAAGTAACACAAGTATCTCTCATGATAACATCCTGACTGTCTGTCAGCAATTAACACAATAAATATGACATCTCTTTAAGGCTAGTAAAAAAAAATAAATTAAAAAATCAGCAGACTATGTATGAACTCCTAGAAAAGCAAATAAAGGGCAACTTTCATCAGTCCTTACTACTTTCCTACTCCAAACAAATATACCTATTAAAAAAAAAAAAGTCTCACTCCTCTAACTCATACATATAAGGCCAGAAAAAAAAATAAAATTAACATAGTCTCAGAAGTTTAATGCTGCATCTGATTGCAAATGGTATCAGTCATTATTGGGTAAATTATTCTGAATGAAAAGTGTTAGTTATTATAAGATACCCAAAAGGTCAATATACCCAATTTCTAAAATATTCCCATAAGGAGACATTATCTTACAGCAGAAATAAAGCTACTACAAAACAAACACATTGGCTGCAGTCCCAGTGTGATATCCCTAAAGGTAAATGCCAACAGTTACAAGTCTATTCAAGAAGTGTTTTCCCTCGACGTACGGCGTTAGAAGCACTCTCTGTGTGGATGTCTGCATATTCCCGTTTGTGCCATATGTGTGTCTATCCCGCTGTGCATGCGACACTTGCATTATAAAGCTCCCAGACAGCCTTGAAAACTCTGCATTGTCTGCACAGAAATTTTTATCTCCTGAACTGTTTCCAAATCTCCATCCTATTTGGTAGCCTTGGAGAACTATCTTCCTTAATACTAGTAAAAAATTAAGCCCTCCAAGCCTCATTCTTAACTCAGTAAACATTTTATCTTCTTACCATATAACTACACATTATTAGTTTATACAAATTTTGTGGGTCAGTAATAAATTGTTCTCTATAGAAAATTACATAAATATTAGGTCCTGTAACCTACTGGGCTAGAAATAAGAATAGTATTCTGCTGGAAATGGAAAGACCTTCACCACAAGCTCTAGAAAAAACTTAACACAGGCACAGTTTGATACGGTTACACTTTGTTTAGCACAATTATTTTTTGTTTCATTTAGAGGATGCCACTTATGTTCAGGTATACCAAATCAGGGCAAGAATTATCAGAGTGTGTAGGTTTAAAGGTAAAAGGATGGGGGGGACCCCAATGACATGATAATAAAAAATCCTTCTGAAATTAAGAACTAACAAAGTATTTTACAGTATCGTTTTTTTGTACTATATGTGGTTTATTTATTCAGACCTGTACTATCCAATTAATTAATAATTTGAATAAGTAATAATTTTAACAACCAATGCAAAGCTGAAGTTCTTCTTCAAAGCTAACTGGCGATTCAGACACCCACCAACAGGCATCTCCAGATGACTTCTACAGTCAGCAGAGGTAAACTGACAATAGTGGGGTTCAGTTATGAAAATCTTAGAGGGAAAATAGGTTCTTCAATTTGTTAGAGCCAAGAAGTGGGAACCAGAGGAAGGAAACGAAGAGGCAGGTCACACTGACAAGGCACAAAGCTAAGGAAACTCCTTAGCAGTCAGTGCAAAGAATTGTAGTAGGAATGTTAGAACTGCCACAAACAGGGAATGAGTGGGAATTACTGGGAGCACCAGAATACAACAGACAGAGAAGGGCTGCAAGCCTGGCAGATGTCCATGGCACCCAGTTCAGCAGATCCTAGGATGCAGCTGCCTGATGATTTTCACCACACTTAGATCAGGAGACAAACCAACAGTGAGTCAGTCCTGACAGCTCGCCAAGGTGGGACATACTGGAGAGACTATTCACTCTCAGCTCCTAGAACATGCAAAAAGGCACATCAGAAACCAGCACATAGTCACCTAACTAAAAGGAATCCAGAAGACATGACGAGGGCCTGACAGCCAGGATCATTTATCCTGTGTCATCACAAGGAACCCTGCTCAGACCATCTGAATACACATTTTAGTGCTGGGATGCTGGACAGACCACTTGGCACATCTGAGAATGTGGGTCTGAAAGTCCATCTGAAGTTAAGTTTTGCTTAAAAACAAAATAATGTTTTCCTCTTGGAAGGTTTCACTTTGTGCTTCTGTACAATATTGCTACAGTGTTGTGACATTGTTTCCAAAGGGATCAAGAAGTCAAGGTCAAAAAACAAAAATAAAGAGAGCTGCCACAGTCAAAAATTACTCCCATGGGTGAAGCAGTGCAAGCGAGCTGGGTGTATTGCTCACAGTGACAGTGAAGGTGGGAATAAAAGATGTGTTGGGAAATTGTTATGAATGTAGTCTTAACCACACTGTGTTAGAGTGTGAATATCTGTGAGTATTAATGAGCAATATGCTTATTAATAAGTAGGTCACTTGGAAGCCTTCAGCATAAAGGCGGTAACTACATGAACAATCATATAATCCCACTCAGGACTCTTTTAGCTGACCTAAAACAGCATTTCTGACCTAAGATGGCATTTGTAAAAGAAAAGAAGTAAAGATGAATTTGCAGAAAGGAGCACTGAAAAACTGTAACAGGCAGTTGTCTTCTCTATAAAAAATGAAATAAGGAAAGAGGCAGTTTTTGCTTCTGGCCTTCCTCCACTCTCCTTTGAAAAATTCCTCAATACTCTGCACTAAACTGAGAAGAAAGGTAAGAGAGGTGAAATTCTGATAGCATGAAGTAATATTTTAACTGGGCAAGAAGAAATGGAAGCTGAAGAGCTCCAGAACCCCACTAATGTACATAAGAAGATACATATAACTGAATTTAATGTTAAGTTGCATATACTAATAATGTCCCATTTCCTTCATAAAATAACCAATTCTTATAGAAGAAAAATCTGAACATACTACAGATGTTTTTATGTAGAACTTACAACTGAAATACTTACTTACATGGAATGAACCACCCCATTGCCTGGGATTTTAGTGCAGTAACACAATTTACAAGTAATAACTAGTAGGCAAATATTAGGAATATTAAGAATTTTCTGAACAAGCCACCCTAGAAAGCACAACTGCCTCAACCTAGAGAAAATGGGGGTGGTCTTTGGACTGTGCCCTAAAACATGAATTTTGGCAAAGCAGTTTCCTGAGAACAGTATTCTTCATTTAATACTCTAGCCTCTCAAAGCTGAAATATGAGTGTTATTAACAGAATTTCCTTACTTTGGCATCCAGAAGGCACCAAGGGAGCAAAGAGTGTTCTACAATTGTCAGACAAAAGCATACAAAAGCAATTACAAAGGCAGTACAGAAGTGGATTGGAAGCATGATGGACTCAGTACAGTCCAAATTACAAAATAACAAATTGCTGCATTCTAGTTTTTAGCTTAAGCTCCCAGATGACATCTACAGACAACCCCAAGAGTCTCATCTTTGATTAGGTCAGCAAAGCCAGTAACTTTATTAGCAGCCAATATGGAACTTAATTTGTAGCTGAAGAACGAACTCTCTGTAAAAAAAAGCTACATACTTAACTCTTTCAAGTCCAGGTCAGCAAGATGGACCTTAATGTAATCAAATACCTGAGATCCAGCTACTTGTCTCTTCAGAAGCCCAGGTCATGATTGTCTGTGATGAGACTCTAAGTGCCTGTGGCAAATTCTGAATATGGGAACTGGGCTCCCTCAGTTCTCAGTAGTCTACTTAGGGGCACAAAAGAAAGCTTCAGGGTTCCTAAATGTTCCGCATGGCTCCCTCAAGTCTCCAAATTCAAGCTCAGCTTCTCCACCCATGGCCATTGTACAGTAACATTCAGTGGTTACACAAAAAAAACCCCTCCCCAAACCCAAAGCACCCCCTCACAGAAATAAACCATGTCAATAAAACAATCATTTAGCACTGCCATCAGGCCTTACCAATTTTTACAATTCCATATTATCATTTACACATGTGTAATATATGATTACGATTATGCTTCCCAGTACAAATCTTTGCAAGAAACTAAGTTTAAGCTTCAAATACACACAACTGTTTTATGCACTAGTGATATTAGTGCACTTCTATTTAGAAGATGTCAGAACAAAAAATACTTAAGCTCACCTACTGACAGAAGACGCCACATAACGGCAGGGGTAGCAAAGCAAGCAAACACATCGTCAGTGCAGGCAAAGTGAGTGAGGTGGGGAAGGATCACTGACTGCCCACGGCATTGGCCCCACATGTACACCTGGCCGCTCTGGGTCTTGGCAGCCGACGTGTGAGCAGAGTGGCAGGCTGCAATCTCTATAACTCTGAATTTACAAGCAAACAAAGAAAAAAAGCAAGTCACTCTCATAAGAACAAAATGCAGTGAAGAAGCTTACTACCTCCTGCCTTTCTCAGGTGCAAAACATATTTGTAAGCATGCATGCACTTCCAACTGCAAGAATGTTTTCCAACTGTACACAGCAAAATTAAAAGGGCTATCAATGTTTCTTCAAACAGTGTGCACTCAGAAAGTTTCTCAGTGAAAAAGCATCTTGGGAGTGAGGAGACACTGTTGCAGCAGACCAGTATATCTGCTGCAGCACATGCTGTACTGACCCCCTCGGCTCCCTCAAACAAAGCTATCATGAGTTTCAAGTCTTTGAATGTCCTCAGTGGTGCTGGGCAGTGAGGTGAGTGGCTGCATTAAGCTGTAGAGAAGGGGTACTTGGAGAAGATGAAGAAAGAAATGAGGAGGCATTCACCAAAAAAACCAAACAAAAAACCAAAAAACCAAACTTTGCTTATTGGTAACAGTTATAAAGCAACAATTTAAACAAACTTCTTTTAATTAAAATACTTAAGTGTCATTACTCACAAGTATTATTACTTATGTTTAACAAACTTTCATTTTGAAAATTAAAAATTAGAACCAAACAGCACTAAAAGCTGTTTCTAAGTGTACTTTAGCTATGTTAGACTATCTCACTAATCCTAAAGTTGATTTAGGATTTCAAAACTCCCACTGTGTACAACATTACACAATCCACTGTTTTGAGTCTGAACTACTTACTGGCTGTTTACTTGTTTCCCAGCTGCCTGGGGAAAACAGCTGGGAAACAACTTGTTTAAAGCTGTACGTACCTATCTTGCAGGTTTTAGTGAGGTAATAGTTTCACTGACACTAGGAATGCACATTCTGGACAACAAAAGGGAAAGGCAGCACACAACATTACAATTCGTATTAAACTGTGGTAACATTTTAACTGCAGCCAAAGTGTCTGGAAAAAATTCAGCTACATTTTAAGCAAGAGCACAAACACACATTAAGAAATAGCAAGGAGGTTTCAAAAACAGGCCATGCCGCTACATTTTAAGCAAGAGCACAAACACACATAAAGAAATAGCAAGGTTTCAAAAACAGGCCATGTGTCATCACCAGAGAGCAGTTGCCTCTTCCTTACAATAATGTACACAGACACAAGTTTAAGAGGGACAAGTCACTTTTCTTATTTTTCACAATAGGAGGCCAAAATCAAGACCTCAGTTATAAGGGACAGATTCAAATTTATGGCCACATATATACATGACTTTACATTAGTGATAGAAATAACTGCCCCACTATCCAACAAGGACTTACAGGAAAACATTTAACCTGTAAAAACCTAAGAATTTTCAGGCAACAATAGCAAGAAAGAACTCCTCCCTTTCTCTCTCTCCTTCATTATGAGCTGGATTTAATAGCAGAAATAACACAAATTGCAGATGTCCACTCTTCACATTTTCTGTCTGTACTTCTTGTTAAAAGCAGCATATTAAAATACAATTTATACACAGAGACAATAAAGCTTTTATCATTGACTTCGAACAATGAAACTACATGACCCGAGAAACTGCAGTGAAGGCCTATATAAAGTACAGTGTGAGCCGAAGCAGAAGATAGCACACTTTGGCTCAGAACATTTAATTTCTCTTTCACAAGGATGGTTATGGGGCAGATTCAAGCATTTTCAGTGAAAAGCAAACTTTAATGCACTGATTTTGTGTGTCAGATAAATTTTCAATCCGTTCACATTTATAGCAGAAGAACCACTGCAAAATTATAGGCTATTTCTCTCAAAAAATGCCATAATTTTCTGTAGCTCTTCTGAGAGTATGCCAACTGATGTCTGACTGCTGGACTATAAGTATTACCTGTCCTTATCCACAACAACTGTTGTAGGGTAAGACTGGTTACTTTTATTCCCAGTACCTAACTGGCCATATGAATTGGCTCCCCAGGCATAAATCTGACCTTCATCTGTTAGCACTAAAGTATGTGCATAGCCACAGGCAACCTATAAGGAATAATAAAAAAAAAAATCTCATTTTTATATAACAGCAAGTTAATACAGACAGACACATGTTATTCTATACGTTAATGTTTACACTGGTATGGAATCAATAACAGTACAATAATTACAAATACAGGTAAGTTTATTAAAAAGGGAAGCAAAGTAGATGAGGTGACTTTGAGGGAAAAAAAATGTATCACTGAGGAACTGGGAGATAATTTCAAGAGTACAGCAAAAGAATAGCCAAATTGAGAAAAAAGGAAAGCTATATGACAAATACAAACAGTATGCAGAAAAAAAATGCAGAAAAAGGCAGATCAAGTCTTGCACTGACCTTGTTCTAGGGGCAACTGCTCCAATGTGAACAGCTTACCACTGTAAAAATAGGCAAGGTCTCCCTGTCTGCTCCTCTCCCCCTGACTGCCAGCCACACAAAACTGCCCCCTCCCTGTGCCAGTTCCAGTGCTCACCAGACCCTCTGCTGAGGTAACTTACACCACTGGAAGGAAACTCTCCACAGCTGGGCCTGAGAACCACCAGAGCCCACATAAGGTAAACAACAGGACCAGCCAGACAAGGAAGAGAGCACAGAGACGAAACTCTCCGTCTTGATGGCACCACACAGCTGTGTCAGCTCATACCCTCTTGTGGAAAACCACTCAGTCTCGCTGAGCTGGTACCCTACATAAGGTTGCTTGAATATCCACTTTACAATCTATATATGCAGCATATGTGCCACATATAGATACACAGTGGCAAAATTACCAGCAAAAGTCTTGTTCTGCATGCATTACTGTAACTATCATAGCTAGATGACTATCAATAATCAATTTACCTTGTTCAAAACTAGCTCACGTATCTTTATATAATCTGCAAAGCAGATATACCATAAAAGAAATAAAACCTTAAGTTATTTACTGATTGGAGGTTTACAGCTGGTATTAATTGATATCAAACAAATGAAGTGGGTGGAAACAGGATCTAAGTCACACCTAATCTCATACTCTCCAAATAGGAAAATAAATACAGGGGAAAATAATATTCTCTTTATTACATTATTCTCCAACAGCAATTTTTACCAGCCAAGCTATTGTCTACATCCTAGGAATCAAATGTAAAACTATGTAATTAAATTAGTTTATTTTAAAATGTTTTAAAAATCCATAACTTCCCTGACTAAATGTAATAAATAGGATCCAAAGTTCAAAACAGTCTTGTAAATTTCACTAGTTTACAAAGTCAGTGTTTTCTAGCAGAATGCCTCATTTTCTTGACAGGATCCACTATTTTTGATAAATCAATTACAAACTTTGACTATCAGTTCTGCAGTTACTTTAGATATTTCTTATCAGTTAAAGAAGTTATCAGTTTGCTAGTTACACTGATGGCAGTTCAATTATTTGGTAAAGTATAATAACCACCCCAGATCAAGACCAATCGTGGAATCACACCAACTCTTGACCAAAAGCAGTTGGAGACAATTTGTTCAGACTCCAAACACCGGTTAGTCACTGAGGCTGGAGTGGAATTCTAAAAGTGATATTCAGTCTGACAGAAAGACAAAATGCTGAACTGTAGCATTTTCCCAGAAAATAAGACAGGAGTAAAAGAAGAATGGGGTAGCCTAAGAAGACTTTCTTATTTATTAAAATAACTGTTTGTTTTGGGGTTTTTATAAATGAAGTTTTACAGGGGAGTTTTACAGGGGAAAAAAAAAAAAAAAAAGACCAAACATTTCTAATGCCCTAGTCCTCTTTAAGTAAAACTCCTGACCTCACTGAGGTATATGGCAAAATTCCCACTGAACTCCACAGGGTCAGTTTCTGCTGCACTGACAGAGGTCCATTTTAAGAGACATATTTTTATCCTGGTACTTCAAACAAAGAGATAAAGGACTATCTCCTTTAAATGTAGAATATGCCTTAGCATATTTTCAGCTGTTCATAAAGGGTTTGATATGGAGCATCACACACATACCCGCTGTACACGAATGCCTTGCAAAGCTGCGATTCGGCACGGTGTGGGCTGATTGCCGCTGCTGCCCAGGCCAAGCTGGCCGTTACCATTGTAACCCCAGACATAGACCTTAAAAACAGAGACAGGGACTTTAACTGTTTGCTGCTAACTACTTCTTCTGAAAACACGATAAACTACTTCAGAATTACAACAATAATTTTTCTTCAGTATTTCCTATCCCCACTCCTCAGAATCTGTACTTTATATGTAGATAAACACAAACATACACACATATATACATACCTATATAAATGTACATATATACATACAGATATATTTAGAATCATAAAATGGTTTGGGTTGGAAGGGACCTTAAAGATCATCTAGTTCCAACCCCCCTGCCATCAGCAGGGACACCTTCCACTAGACCAGGTTGCTCAAAGCCTCATCCAGCCTGGCCTTGAACACTTCCAGGGAGGGGCATCCACAACTTTTCTGGGCAACCTGTTCCAGTGTCTGACCACCCTCACAGTGAAAAACTTCTTCCTAATATCTAATCTAAACCTGCCCTCTTTCAGTTTAAACCCATTTCCCCTTGTTTTGTCATTAGTTGCCCTTATGAAAAGTCCTTCCCCAGCTTTCTTGTAGGCCCCCTTCAGGTATTGGAAGGTCGCTATAAGGTCTCCCCGGAGCCTTCTCTTTTTATACACACACGTATGTGTTTTTCTGCACTGCAAATTTGGGATGCTGCTTCTGTTTAAAATATCAACTGCATGCTCATCTAAAACTCTAAACCTCCATATTCATGTTGCTCTTTTAAGAGTTAGATTATGTAAGACTATATGAAGAGTAGAAAATAAGTGATCCATACGGCTGTTTCCCAGCACAGAGCAAATTCAGCATGGATACTTCCCTTTTTCAAAAAGCTAATTTCTCATTCAAAAATACTCTAACAGAAAACACACTAAACCAAGTATAAACTGGAAGCTATGCACAACAGTTTGAGTGGGCTGTTAACAGCTTTATGCTGAACATAAGGAAAAGGGAAAACACTGAGCTCTGATAATTTCAGTGACATATGTTCTGCTGCAAACAGTTAATAGCTACTTAGATCTAAACTGAAATGCCTGGAGCAACGGAGCTAGAGAGCATGTAGGCTGTCCCAAATCTTCAGCTCATGAAATAAAACAACAAGAACACTACAAGCTCTTCTTATCTTTGCAATGAGGATAAAAAAGTACAAGAGGGATTAACTTAGTTAACTTATCATTAACTTAGTTATTTTTACATATGAGAAAATGAAGCTATCATGAAACACTAAGTATACATATATAGATTTGATATTATTTAATCCCAAAATCTGTAAAAATCTCCTTCTCACAATCCTATTTTTACTTCAGAACTGTATTTTCAAGTAAATTTGAAATGTCATACTTGAATTCCTTCAACTCAAAACCAACTTCAATAGTTGACACAAAGTAACAGCTGCTAAATATTACAAGTAATCTCATAAACCAAAAAGCCATAAACCAAATGTTAGTGAACAATTTTCCGTTTCACTCTACCTGCTTTCTAAAGAAGAAACAATAACCAGCATGGATAGGAAGAGGAGCTTAAGTTTGTCAAAATGTGTAGGAAAATTTAGGACAAAGTTTTTTACAAGCAGTATAAGCAGGTAGATTTGAGGGAATCTGGAAAGGTATACTTCTTTTCTGAGTAGTAGGTCAATACTGACAGGTTTGAAATTATCTATATCCCATGATATTACATAAAATAAAGTTCAGTCAGAAAATTCACTTAAAAGTTTCTTACCTCTCCATTTTCCACCACAGCCATAGAGCACATCTGTCCACAAGCTATATTAACTACTATTTTATTTTGTAGGCAGCTGGTAACTCTTCGAGGAATTGGTTGATTAGCTGTTGAACCAGATCCAACTTGGCCTGAGTTATTATAACCCCATGTGTATACCTGTTGTAAGAGAATTGTCATAAAAGAAGGCTATATAACATACAGTTCAAAGTACATACTCAAGAGATAAAAAAGTTATATGCTTAAAAAAATTACATTTTGAGTTCAAGAGGATGTATTCTTTTAAAGATCTAGGTGGATACATAGGTTTACATTTTAATTGTTTCTATCAAAAATATGCCACTCATAATATTTATATATTCAATTCTTTTATGTTCCTCCAATCAAAGGTAAGAGACAACATGACAGTTGCATTAATGCAGGAAGAGTACATTGCTAGTTCTATAGAACCCAAAGTGGAATGGCTAAGTGGACACAAATGGTACCTCAAAGTAAATGACAGAAAACTTTCTACTTTGGTGGGTAGAACTCCTTACATGAACGTGATTTATATTTTTGTCAGCTTCAATGCCATTAAGCATTTACAACAGAGTATAGCATAGGAAGGAGCTGGCTGCTCTCTACAAAGAAATTCTAATTTCTTATTATAAGTGGATGTGGCACAAAAATCAGTGTTCTGCATGCACTTCAAAGCAGCTACACCCTAACAAGTTTTCCATATTTATCAAACATTTGTGTTGCATCAGTGCTGTGAGGATAGCAAGAAGCAAGGTCTAATGCTGTAGCTGCAGAATGTTTCCCTATTTCTCACATACGTGAATTTCACTAAGAGAAAAGAGAGATTTATTCTCACCTCTCCATCAGATGTTAATACCATAGAATGATGAGAGCCACAGGCAACTTCAATGACTTTCTTGTTCACCAAGTTAGTAGAGACTTGACAGGGAACGAAACCATGATTCGTTGTACCATTGCCCAACTGACTATAAGCATTATGACCCCATGTATACACTTCTCCTTCTATAATAAAAATGTAAAAAGCTGGTTTAAAATCTCTATTTTTCCAATATTTCTCTATAATAACAGGTTAAATCTAATGACTTTATTCTGTCAAAGGCAAACAAGCTTCTTTTCCTTTCACCAACATGAGAACGTAAATTTCAGTGAAGAGGTGAAATAGCCACATAGAAATATACAAACTAAACTGGAAATGATAGTAATTAACACAAAAATTCTGAAACATGTAAGGGCTGTCTGAAAGGCAGGTTAAAAGAGGCTGAATGGAAGTTATTAATGCAAATGGAGTTGAGTAAAAATCATCAAGGAACAGTTCTGGACCTGTGCTTTTGCAATACTTCAGTTCATCAACTGGGTAAGGAGTATGAGCATGTCAGTGAGATCTGCCAGCAATAAAGCTTGGAAGAATACAGATAGAATCAACAGAATGTTAGGGATTGGAAAGCAAACTCAAAAGATCATCTAGTCCAACCCTCCTGCCAGAGCAGGATCATCTGCAGTAGGTCACACAGGAATGCGCCCAGGCGGGTTTTGAATGTCTCCAGAGGAGACTCCACAACCGCTCTGGGCAGCCTGGTCCAGTGCTCCGTCACTCTCACAGTGAAAAA